CCTGTGGTGAGGAATTTTGTTTCCTCGATGTTGAGATGTGATTCCTATTGAAGGCTATAGTGATTTACTTCTTTATTAAGTGCCTTCATGTCTTCTTCATTTTCTACAAGCAAGGTTGCATCTTCTGCATAATGCACGTTGTTGATATATCTTCTTGGAGCATTCCTACTCCGTCCAGCAGGGTCACGATGGATTGGACTTGTCTGCATAGTACTAGGTTTATTTTTTTGGTTTGGTGCCTAGCAGAAAGGAGGGTAGCATCTATTGATGTGACCAGAAAAGCTTTGTGGAGGAGGTAACTTCTGAGATGGCTGTATGGTGACAAGAATGGCTGGGATGGACAGTGGTTTGGACAGAATCTAAGCCTCGCCCAAGCTACAGCATGCATGGAACAGCAAATTCGGTGCTTCTGTCATTCTGAGTGTCTGCCAAATGAAGCTGCTGGACAGGCTGAAGAAGTACCAGGCTCCAGAACATAATGGTCCCACTCTGCATCCCTTCCAGGAAGGCCTTGCAAAGACAGGCCAGTAGCCCCCCTAAGACAGCTGTCTCTGCATTCGTGCCCTCAATCTTTAACACTCAGAGCTGCTCTGCAAAGCAAGGATAGCATCTTTTTCAAGAAAGAGACAGGAGCATACATAGATCTCTATACAAACATATGTATACATAGTTGAATAAAGTGATTTTTTTACCTCCATGCATGTTATTATGTCATAACTGACTGAGAGCTGAACCTCAGTGGGTTTTCAGAGACAGTAAATCTTACAGCGGAGATTGCCCGTCATCTGAGAAACTAGGAGATTCACACCACCTATCTTTGAGTTGACAGCACAACTCCTTGGCACTTGGCCACCGCAGCTGCCTAGCTTCATGCGTAGTGAAGCCAGAGAACGATACAGAAGCTAAACCACGTATCTCCAATGGGTAGCCCCCTAAGAAAAACTACCTTCTAGGTATGAAAACCTAGTTGTAAGCAGCCCTAGGATTAAGTTCTGCAGTCGGGCAAGAGAATGTCCACTCTGCTTCATTCAGCAGCTGTTCAGTGTCTTCAGCCAGTGACTGTGGTTTCCCAATGTGACCTAACACTGGAGGATACTGAAGACACCGAGTGCTGTTGTGCTGCTACTCAGACTTGGCCATGACCACACGCTGCTAAATGAGGAGGCTGTGGCCACTTCCTCGCCCTTGCCATACAGTATTTTACTCTTTCTCTCCTAGCCTTCACCTTCCTTGCTACAGATGTGTTTACTTTTAAATCCTTGCACTTTATCATTTCCCAAGACTCAGTGCTCAGTCTTACCTTAGAGCCTACCGGTTACAGGCATAGAGGTTTACATCTTCAGCCACTAATCATAAGGGCAGCAGCTTGAATCTACCAGGATAAAGATGGCCCGTCTCCTCCAGTAAAGATTTACAGCCTCAGAGACTTCATTGAAGGTGGCCATGAGTGGGAGTGACTCAGTGGTAGTTTGGTTTGGTTCTTTGTATGTGCCAGGCATGGAAACAACTAACATGAAAAAGACAAGTTCCCTGAGGACTTCCTCTGGGACTTTAATCAAGAAGGGGAGGGGGAGGGAATTGCCAGTCATGTTTCCTATGCTTCTTATAAAATAGAGGATTTCTAAATTCTGTACAATACTTATTTTTACTTATTATAAGATAATCCTGTGAATATAGCTAAGATCTTTCTTAACATTGCAAAGACTAGTATGTAATGCCATTCATTGGCTGGCTTTTTTTGCACTGCTAAAAGTATTACTTTCTTATTTCTCGTTGGTCCATATGGGCATAAAATAAGTTCTTGTTCATAGCTACTCAGATTTATGCCCTGCCATGATCTGGTGTTTTAACTGGTGCAAGCTGTTTGGGTTATTTGGTGTTTTTTTCTCAAGTAAAGCAATTTTCTGTAACTCCCTTTGTTATATTACAAATAAAGAAATACTGGGATTTCTTTTTCCATGTTCTACCAAATAATCCAATATTTATTTTCAAAATACGAGTCTCTAAAGTCACTGTGAGTTGGAATCGTCTGAACAGCACGTAACAATAGCAAGGACCTTTGGTAGCCTAGTCCTTGAGTCCTCAACTGCTAAACAAAAGGCTAGTGGTTCAAGTTCCCCGGCTACTCTGCAGAAAAAACACAGGCTCATTAAGTCAGAATCAATTCTATGGCAGGAGGTTTGGGTTTTTATTTATACTGGTCTTCATTTGATGCAGTTTATGGTAGTAAGCCATTTCATAGAAGGACCTCATATACTGTATCTACTATACATACTTTTTTTTTTACTTCCAGGTGCAAGTACTTGGTACAGATATGCAAAGTCTGCTATTATTTACTTACACGTTGTGTGCCTCTATCTCATGTTTGTAAATAACATTTTTCTATTCTCCCAAAGATTAACATTTCTTACCCTTCTTTGCAGCTAATAAGTCCGAACAGTCTGATTTTTATTGAAGCTAAAGGAGATTCTGAATTTGTTCACCTATGTCTGTAATCAAAATAATACAGACCCTCAACTTGATCCTGGATTTATTCAAATGTACCCGATCCTTGTACACTCCCTACTGCTGACTGGTCATACACCTGTGCAGGAGTCCTGTGGTGACCCATATGACTTGTTCATAGTGTATTTTATTGTAGACAAATAGAACAAAAAGCTCATCATCCTAGTCATTTTTAAGTGTAACATTAGTAACAGCACCATGTTGTTCTGGTGTCTTAATGGTAAGGAGCTGCACTGCCCACTCAGGCATGCAGTTCAAATTCATGAGCTACTCCAGGGGAAAAAGATGGGCAGTCTCTGTTCGTGTGTTTTACTACCTCTGAACACCACTGGAGGGTCGGTTCAGACTGAATAGTACATAACAAGTGTTGCACAACCATCACCGCTGTCCATTTCCATTTTTTTTCTTCATCACTCCATACAAATTTAATACCGCTTAAGCTGTACCTCTCATCCCTTCCTCCATTTCTGATTACCAGTAATTTATATTTCTATGTTGGTGTTTGCCTGTTCTACCTAGTACTTATTCTTTTGTGTGTCTTTAATAGGAATGTTCTGTAGCAAAAACCAAACCCACTTATAGTAAATCAGTTCTCACTCATAGCAACCCTGCAGGACAGACTAGAACTACCCACACAGAATAGCTGAGGCTGCAGATCTTAACACGTTGCCACAAATGACGGCTATCGCGGAAAAACAAAAATGTGTTTCTAAGCACGGTCATCAGCTTAAAAGTGTGCAGCAACGTGTTAATTGACTGCCTCATGGATCTCCCAGAGAGGGCTGGTGGGTTGGAATCACTGACCTTTTGGTTATCAGTGGAATGCTTTAGCCACTGTGCCCTCCCCACCCCACCCCACCCCAGCTCCTTATTAAAGGTCAGATGAAACTATCAGGTTTTGGGGAGCTCTGGTGGCCTAGTGGCAAGAAGCTGCACTGCAATCCCAGAGATATGTGGTTCGACTCCACCAGATGCTCTGCCGGAGAAGGAGGGGCCATTTCCTCCTATACCAGTCAGATCCAATTTGACGGTACACACACACAGAAAATAATAATACAAAACAAAACAAAAAAACACTTATCAGGTTTTCACCCATTAATGGGAGAAATTTAAGTAGCTATAGAAAAATTTCTCTGGGATGATACCAAGTATCTTGATAAACATATGTGACCAGCTCAGTTGTGAAGTAGTTTTCTTCACCACTGGTAATGGATTGGACATGCCAGATACATGCTCAAGTAACAGTAGCCAGGGGTGCTGACCTGGTTTCCACCAGTTTTCGAGAAATCTCTCTTCTAATCAGCGAGTCATGCTTATGTGAATACATCACAATGTTCACAGCAGTTTGCATTGCCTTATTTGAACCTGTTTTTCCATCCCATGTGACATATACTGTATTCTACAATTGGTTGGTCAAAGGTGACTTTCAAAGATGAAGGGAAGTAGCAGAGGAAGCCAACTCATTCAGCCTAAAGCCTCTAGCTTTCTGTCACGTCTTCTGAAGCCCTCTTCATCACTGCACATCCCTCCACCCCCTCTGCCTGTCTTGGCTCTTTTTAGTTTTCCTTAAGCCTGTCCTTGAGGTTGAAATATCTCTGATATTTTTAAAAATAAAGTAAAGTGTTTTAAAAATAAAGGTAATTTGAAATATCTCTGATATTTCTGATATTTTTCTTTTAAAATGTGCATTTTTCTGTCTTCCTCATTCTCTGATTTGAAAATCCCTTGTATGTTTGGCTTTAGTTGCCCTGTCTCGCTGACCTTCCCACATACAGGTATCATTCTCTCATTCAGTTGATTTACACAAATAGAAACATGGACCCATCAAACCAATTTGTTTATCTTTGGATTATAAGGTGATTTTGCACCAGCTTTGCCTTCCCACTTGGGTTTTATTTAAACTGCTGTTGGGATCAGCTTATGTTCGTTCATTAAGCATGTCCCAGCTGGCTAATGGAATGAATAGGCAGGCCTGAGGCATCTGCACTCAGATGGAAAACTGGGTGTAGATGATACTTGCATGCATCACTGTAAATTGTTCATACCGTAAAATTGCAGAGTTCTTAGCTCTTCAGTGCTACTGTAACAGAAATATCACAGGCCGATGACATGAAAGAACAGGTAACTGCATTTCCTCCCAGTTTCAGAGGCTAGGAGTCTGAACTCACAATGTTGGCTCTAGGGGAGGGCTTTTTCTCTCTCTGCTGGTTTTAGAGGATGGTCCTTGTCTCTTAGCTTCTGCTACAGGGAGAGCTTCATGTGACTTGGCATCTCTCCTCCCTGTCTTTGCCTGCCTGCTTGCTTGTTTAATCTCTTTTATAGCTCAAAAGAGATTGACTCAAGACACGCCTATGTTAATCTTATCTCATTAACATAGCAAATACAACCTCTTCCCCAAAGAGATTTCATAAGTTTACAATAGATATTTTTTGGGGCACACAGTTCAGTCCCTAACTCTGTATATGTTAGAAACCAGGCAGAGAAGGAAAACACCAATGTATCCAGCTGAAATGAACCATAGAGGAGTGGAAAACAAGGCCGTCCTCCTGGGTTCCAGCTCTCAGGTTTTGCTGAATTTGGTCCAGAATCCAGAGGAATATCAGCTCACTGAGTTCCTTTTTCCTATCAAACTTTCTACATCCTGTATATAAACTTCATATGTATTGTTGCAGCTAGGTGCCATTCAGTCAATCGCAATTCATAACAACCCTGTGAACAACATGGAAACCTAGCTCTCTTCCTGTACCATCTTCACAGTCCCACCATGCTTAGACCCACTGTTGCAATTAGTCTATCTCCGTAAGGGTCTTGCTCTTGCACTGATCCACCCCTTTTCCAAGCATGATGACTTTTTCCAAGAACTGGCCCCACCTAATAATGACTGGCCCAGAGTATGCAAGACAGTTCCACCCTGCTTTCTAAAGAGCTCTCCAGCTGCATGTCTTCCAAGACAGATTTGGGTTTTTTTTCTTTTGGCAGTTTATAGGGTATTCAATACTATTCTCCCTGTTGAATTTGTTTTATAAAGAAGCCTTTAAGAAACTTAAAGGAACTTAGTATAAAAATCAGTATGACTAGAACTGCACTTAGGTTTGAATATTTTGGTTTTTTTGTTTGTTTGTTTGTTTGTTTTTAGGTTTGAATATTTTGTGATTGTTCAAGTTCTGGACTTCTTACATATCCTGACACTGTTTGTTTTAATTATACTTTGTTTTCACGTTTGCTTCATTCTCTACTTTAAAATGATCCTGTTTCATGCAGGTTATGTTTCATAATCTTTGCTAGTTTAAGCACTGAAGCTGTGGTACCATGAAGTAGGAACTGGGCCTGCCCTTGCCTTACACAGGGATTCACTGGTAAAAGAGGGTGGCAGAGGCAATCGTAGAAGCTACTGTAATAGAGGAACTGTTTGACTTTTTATCTCGCTCCCCCTTCATTTTGAAGGGGATACTATTATTATTTTATTATTATTATTATTTTTTTTCAAGACCAGAATTTACAAATGCTCAAATCTTCCTAGCTGGAAGTAGTCTTACGCATGCTATCTGTGCATGAGAATTTGGGGTGGGAGGTAGAAAATACTCAACATTCTTGGGCCGGAATCGTGAGGAGCCTCCTTCATTCCCTCAGCCTCTCCCCAGTCCTCTTTGGGTGAGTGTAGAAGCAGTGGCAACTTTATTAGGCCCTTCCCCCTTTTTATTTTTGCATTTATTTTTTGCCTTTTAATGATACAGAGAACACCATTCGTGCAGGATTTGCTGCATAAATGTTTGCACTGTGGATCTGAGGTTGCACACTCCTTCCAGCATGGGTCATGAGAATGATTGGTGCATGATTCTCTTCCTCTCCCCGATGATCATTAATGCTGTCATGTCAGGAATGCAGCAACCTTCAGTATCACTTTCTTCATCTGTGAACTGGTGGTGCTAAGCCTGTTATTATGTGAGGGGTACATCCCTCCTCACTTATCATTATCAGAATGGATAAGTTCCAAAGACCAGGTTATGCAGAAGTCAGCACACACGCAGAAATGGTTTAGGGTTGGTTTTGTCTTGTTTGCAGACCAGTTTATTCAATTTTTTTCCCTAGAAAATATGATCATACAAGTGATTAACAGCTAAGGTTTATTGAGGTGTTTGAGTTATGATCATTTTTCTGGAGAAAGAAGGCTTGAAGGAAAGTTGGCTAAAGCCAAACTGTGACTGGAGGGCCCACTGCTTATTTTATCTGCTTCTTCCTGTGTGGGTCCCAGCTTCCCTAGGGCACCCACCTGCAAGACTCCACGATCCCTGCCTTTGGGTCCTGGAGCCTGCTCTGTCCTGTAAGCCTTTAGAGGCGCTGAGCTTCAGGGCTTCCCTCATCTGCGAGCCTGCCACACACCTGTCCGCTGAGGAAGAAGGGTAAGGAGAGGAGGTAGATGTCTTTTCTTTTTTTTCTGTCTGTCTTCCCACCACAACAGTTTTGAGTTACAGGCCCTCAGGCCACACAGAAACTAGGAACCCAGGGCCTACAGGCTTGCTGCTGCCTGCCTGAGGCTGTGGCCATGGAGCACTAAGGGAGTAGAGGCTGGAGAAGGGAGATTCCTTTCCAGATACTGCTGGAGACGCTATTCCAGCAAGGGGACACTATAGCCATTGCTGCCATGCCTTCCACCTCAATGCGCAAAACAGAGGGGATTTTATTATTATAAATAGTGGCATAGTCCTTAGGGAGTTCCATTGCTGATAAAGGTGGCTAGTTCAAATCGACCAGGACTTGTTGGGGGAAGGATGGCAGTCTCCTTCCATGTGAATTGTTGTGAATGCAAAATGTCATATAACAAAATATTTGGTAAGTGTGGAGTGCATGCAGTACCTAACTTTTTTTTTTTTACCCTCTGAAATTTAGTGGGAACCTGCTGTCCCATTTTCAGTGTGCCACCATCTGGTGGGGCTTGTGTGACTGTGAATTTGAAGAAGTGGGCCTTATATGACTAACTCCAGCCCCAGAGATCTCTCAGGACAAATGTGTCCCACAAAATTGTATAAAAACCCATATGAACCAAAATGAACTTTTTTTTCATCTCATCAAAAATGTCTTCTATTACTGAAAAGGCATGGTGTCAGCAAAAAAAATTCAAAGCAGAAAATAATTCATTCTTGAAAAATTTACATTCTCAGCTGTTAACTGAAATGCTGGCAGTTTGGGCTTGCAGCCTGCTCCACTGAACAAAGATGTGCTGGTCTGCTCTTACGAAGACAACAGCCTTGGGAATCCATGAGGTCGTTCTCTTTCCTACAGGGCTGTGAAGGACCAGAATCGACTCAGCAGCTACAGGCTTGGGAATGCTCCACAGCAGTACCACTAGTTGCTGGTGTTCTGACTCTTGGTAACCCTGCATAGCAGTCAACATGTCTGTCAAGAATAGACTTCTGCCCACAGCTTTTTCAGTGGCTGATTGTTCAGAAGTAGACCAGCTGTCCTTTCTTCTGAGGTACCCTAGTGGGTGGTGGTTGTTGGGTGCCGTCAAACCAACTACAACTCACAGCAACCTTATGAACCCACAGATTAGAGGCAAATGTGGGTAGACTAAAATCAGCAGCCGCCAAACTTGTTAACTAGTTGCACCACCTAGGGTTTGACTCATTTAATATTAAACCCATCACAAATACCTAACATGAGTGCATCTCAACCATAGGAATGGATTTCTTCACCTACTGTACTTGCTGTGGGCTACAAATCAGATGTGCATGAGAAAGAAGCCTGTCCAGCTGAAGGCCTTTTCCCTCCCTTCTCCCACAAATTCGCCTCGCCTCATACCCCATAGATTCCTCTCACCTGAGACAGTTGTTCTCTTAGTACTCTTGCCCCTTCTCCTTAGCTATAGTCATGTGGGAAGTCATTGCTGTGCTGGATAAGTGTTTCAATGAAGTCTAAACTAAGGAAGAATCAGTATCAGACTTCAGGGCCTAGGCCGGATTCTGCCCTGAGCAGTGTTTTCTGGAAACATAATAGCATTTTAGCTGTACCTTGGCATGAACGGGCTTTGTAGGCTGGCCCCGAAAGCTAGCAAACCCTTTCACACAGTTTTTATGGGGAAATACATTCCAATTTATTTATTACAGAAAGATGGTTTGTTCATCATTGGTGAACTGCCCTAGCAGGTTTTTTCCCCTCAGGATTTTTTTTCTTTTCTTTTTTTGGCCAGGAAGAGAAACTACATGGGTAGATCAAAGCATGACTGACAAGTTGTTTTTATTTGAAAATTATCATATTTATTTTGTTGGAAAAGGAAAGTGTATTTGGGATATTTTTGCATATGTGTGTGTGTGTGTGTGTATATATATACATACATACACATATGTGTGTGTGTGTGTGTGTGTATATATATATATATATATTTTAAATGTCTTCTATAAGAATGAGAAAGGTTCTTTGTTTAAAAGCTACACAGGATAAATTTTCATGAAACTCTGTGTGAGACCAAGTCCCTGGTGCCATCAATAGAAGAGATTAGTATTCTGCAGAAGGAGGGTGGCAGGCCCCGTGGTAATCAGATGCATTTGTCTGTTCATGTTCCCATGAGGCTGAGCTGTGCAACACAACCAAACAAGGTGCACATGCTGGTAAGTAAAGACGTGTCCCCCTTTGCCCAGGTTGGGGATCCACCCAGGATCAACCAGGAAGTGTCAAACTGATGGGTTAACTGAGAAGACATCTTTCACTGATGTTTCAGTGGTAGAATTTGTCCCTTCTGTGTGGGAGGGCCAGGTTTGCATCTCATGCACAGCCACCACCTGTCATCAGTGGAGGCTTCACATGTGTTGCTCAGATGCTACACACATTTCTTTGGAGTTTCCAGACTATGGTTGACTAGGAAGAAAGACCTGGAAACCTACTTCTGAGAATGAGTGATTGAAGCCTAGTGAATCAGTGCTCCAGCCACTGTCCCATGAGGATGTCGCAGGACGAGCAGTGTATTATCCCCTTATGTGTGGAGTCGCCATGGATAAGGGGCTGTCTCAACAGCAGCCAACAGCAACTACAACTTATGTTGTTCGGTGTCATCAAGTTGACTCCCACTCACAGCAATCTCATGGACAGCTGAATGAAACACTGCCTGACCTTGTACCATCCTCACAGCCTGCCATGCTGAAGCTCATTGTAGTGGTCACTGTGCCATCACATATCACTGACAGCATATTGTCATCAAACATTAAAATCTCTAAGAGACAAAGAAGGATCCCTCCCCTAGAGCCTCAAGGAGAGGAAGCCTTGGGTTTGAAAACTGAGAGAATAAGCTTCTGTGCCACCAGTCAGTAAGAGACACTGTGGCAGCCTCAAAAACTACTGCACCTGTTCTTCACTTATAGTCAGGTTCCATAGACCAACTGGTTAGGTGGAAATGGAGGCTGCCACCTTAGGTCATAGCTGGAGGATGGCTGTATCATCATATAACTGCCAGGTTACATCATTACTTATCTGCCAAAGTCATCCTGCATCACAGTATTTGTTATTGCTAGACGTATGTTGTTAATTTGTGAAATTGTCATAAGTGAAGAATAGGTATACAAGTTCAATGAGGGTGTTAATCAAAGTTGTCAACAATTTCATTTGTTTCCTTTGCATCAGACCATGAATGAGGAAGACTGAAGATGAATCAATGCCTTTTAATTGTGGTGTTGACGAAGAGTGTTGAATATACCATGGACTGCCAAAAGAACAAACACATCTGTCTTGAAGGAATTTGTTCTTGTTATATGCCATCAAGTCATCAACAACTCAAAGATCCTTTGCACAGTAGCTCTGAACCCTGCCCTGTCCTTAGCCAGTTTCACTGTTTCTGGCACACCTACCACCACTACCCCAGTTACTGTGTCAATCCGTCTCATCTGGGGTCTTCCTCTCTTGTGCTTTCCCTCCGCCCTTCCAAGCATGATGTCCTTCTCCAAGGACTGGTCCTTCCTGGCCATGTGCCCAAATTATGTGAGACCGAGTTTCAAAATCTTTGCCTCCAAGGAGCAACCTGGTTTCACCCTCTCTAGGACAAGCTTGTCTGTTCTCTTGGTGGTCCATGTAATTGTTCAGTACTCTTCTCCAGTACCACTACTCAAAAGCATCCATTCTTCTTCTGTCATTCTTAGTCATCAAAGACCATGGCATAGATCAGGCACACCTTAGTCTCTATATGAACATCATTGTTATTCAGCACTCTGGAGAAGTCCCTGACAGCAGATATTCCCAGTTCATTTCATCTTTTGATTTTCTTACTGCTGGTTCCAAGAGTGGTGATTGTGGAACCCAGCAACCTGAAATTGTAAACAATCTCATTCTCTTCTCCATCTATCATGGTGCTGCCAGTTGGCCCACTGGTGAGGAACTTTGTTTTCCTGATGTTGAGCTGCAATTCCGTAATGAAGACAGTCCTTGACCTGTAGCAAATGCTTTAGGTCCTTAGTTTTAGCAAGCAAGGTTGTATCACTTTTCATAATGCAGGTTATTGATGAGTCTTTCTCCAATCCTGATGCCACGTTCCTCTTTAGAGGCAAGAATGGTGAGATTTTGTGTAACTTACTTTGGGCATATTTTCAGAAGATACTAGTCCTTGGAAAGAGACATCATCCTGGAAAGGTAGATAGTAAGTGAAAGAGGAAGACCTTCAGTGAGATGGATTGACCCAATGACTATCACAGTGGACTTGAGCATGAATAAGCATGAAGATGGTGTAGAATAAGGCAGAGTTCAGATCTGTTGTTCATAGGGTTACTATGAGTCATAGTCAACTTGACAGCACCTAATAACAACATGTATACATCATCATCATCATTAACATTAAAATCAAGGATGGTTATTTTACTGTGTTACTTACTACCTGCATGTAACACCTTGCTAAGTCAGTAGTTTATACAACGTCAAGTTTCAGAATATTGTCACTCAATTTTTGTTTTTTCCTTTTTAAAAACTACACAAATTGTTCACAGTACGGAATGTAGATAATTAGGCAAAGCAAATAGAAAAATAAACAAGCCTCCCATGTAAAATCTCATTTTATAATTTTGATAATATCCCTCCAAATGTTTTCCTATGAAGAAGTTTCAAATAAAATTATCCGTCACACTGTTTTGTAGCCAGCTTATAGACCTTGTATGTTGGTACAGTTGTCTTTCTCTGCCACACACTCATTTGTCTTCATTTTAATGACCTCTCCTTAATGTTCTGCCATGTGAGTTTGCCACATTTTATTTAACCAATCATTTACCAGTAAGCATTTAGGCTTTGTTTCTTTTAAAAATGTTAACATGATTTCATCGATGCCCTTATACAGGAAGTTTCGTATACTTGCTTCAATATTTCATTAGGGTAAAGTGAAATATTTAGGTGAGCAAGTGCGTACTGTTTTTAAGTCTTTTTATTACCTTGCCAAATTGTTTTATATCAGATTCAGCTCCCCTTTGGAAAAAGAAAGATAAACAGTAACAAATGAAAATGAGGATATGACTTGCTGCTGGAACCCCCAAGTGCTGTTGTGGGCAATGGAGTTGATGGAAAGAAACAGATTATCATTGTGAGGTTCATTAAGTATGTCTTAGAATAATACTTAATCTCTTAGAATAATACTAAATTTTAATATTATGTACATGAACAGAAATTTTCAAAGGGTTGCTCGGGATGACAAAGCAAGGTGTTATAATGAAATGTGCAAAGAGCTGGAGTCAGAAAATACGAAGGGCTGAACTCACTCAACCGTTCTTAAACTGAAGGAATTGAAAAACAAATTCGAGCCACGAGTGACAATACTGAAGAATGCTTTGGGCAGAATATTAAATGATCAAAGAAGCATTAAAAGAACATGGAAGGAGTACACAGAGTCTCTGTACCAGAAGGAATTGGCTGACACCAGAGAATTTCACGAAACAAAACATGGGCAAGAGCCTGTGGTGATGAAGGAAGAAGTTCATTTTGCTCTGAAAGAATTGACAAAAAACAAGGCTCCAGGAGTTGATGGTATACCAATTGACATAATTCAACAAACAGATGCTACCCTGGACGTGCTCACTAAGTTGTGCTAAGAAATCTGGAGACAGCCACCTGGCCAAATGACTGGAAGAGATCTATATTTGTTTCCATTTCAAAGAAAGGTGACCCGACCGAGTGTAGAAATTATCGAATAAGTTATCATTAATAACACATGCAAGCAAGATTCTGCTGAAGATTACCAAAAACGACTGGAGCAGCACATCAACAGAGAACTGCTAGATGTGCAGGCTAGGTTTAGACGGGGTCATGGTACTAGGGATATTATAGCTAATGTTAGAGGGATCTTGGCAGAAATCAGAGTGTACCAGCGGAATGTCTGTGTTTCATTGATTATGCAAAGGGTCAAAACAAAGTATGACTGAAGAATGGGAATCACAGAACATTTGATTGTGCTTATGCAAAACCTATACTTGAACCAAGAAGCAGTTGTCAGAACTGAGGGAGGAGACATGGCATGGTTCAAAATCAGGAAGGGTGTCTGCCAAAGATGTATTTTGTCTCCATATCTTTTCAGTCTTTTTAATACAGAACAGATCATCTGGGATGCTGGGTTGTACGAAGAGGAATATGGCATCAGGATTGGAGACAGACTCATCAATAGTCTGTGTTATGCAGATGACACAACCCTGCTTGCTGAAACTGAGGAGGACCTCAAACGCTTGCTGCAGAAGGTCAAGGACTGAGCCTTCAATATGGATTGAAGCTCAACATCAAGAAAACAAAGATTCTCTCCACTGGACCAACTGGCAACATCATTACGGATGGTGAAGAGATTGAGATTGTTAACAGTTTTAGTTTGCTTGGCTCCATAATCAACACTCTTGGTACCAGCTGCCAGGAAATCAAGAGAGGAATTGAATTGGGAAAGTCAGCTATCAGAAACTTCTACAGAGTACTGAAGAGCAACAATTTCAGGCTGGAGACTAGGCCGTAGTCTTTGCAGTTGCGTGCTATGCATCAGAGAACTGGACAATGACTAGGGATGATAGAGAATTGATGCCTTTGAGCTGTGGTGCTGGAGGAGAGTGTTGAATATACCATTAACTGCTAGGAGAACAAACAGGTTTGTCCTGGAGAAGGTGAAACTGGGCTATTCCTTGGAGGCAAGGATTCTAAAGCTTCGAATGACATACTTTAGACATGTTGTAAGGAAGGACCAGTCCTTGGAAAGGAATATCATGTTTGGGAGGGTAGAGGGACAGCACAGGAGAGGAAGACCCTGGATGAAATGAGTTGACTTCATGACTCAGGTAATGAGTTTAGGTGTGTCAGAGACAGTAGGATTGACACAGGGTAGAGCAGAGTTTAGGGCTATTATACATGGGGTTGCTGTGAGTCACAGGTGACTCAGCGGCACATAACAACAAACAATTATTATTTTACCATATCATTGCGGATATTTTTCCCTATTTGTCCTTTTTTATTTTTTGTCACTGTTTGATTTTCTTTTGCGTTTATCTTTCTTCATGTATAAAAAAAGTCCTTTTGTTATTTTATGTGTTCAAAACTATGAAACATTTTTTTAAAAATTTTTACCTCACTTCAAAAATTTATTCCTTTCCTAAGATCTTCTAAGCAGTATTAACTCACTTTTCAGAACTTAATGGAGTAACCTTCTCAAATGTCTTCTGTTTTGCCCACCAGGAAAGCAATCGAAGAGCTGCTCAAGGAGGCGAAACGTGGGAAAACAAGGGCAGAAACAATGGGGCCAATGGGTTGGTAAGTTCTTAGAATCTAAGAAACTCTCCAGAGAAAAGTCTTTCTTATATATTTTTTAAATTTTTATTTGCTCATTGTTGTACATTTTTTTTCCTTCCCTTCTCCTCCCACAGTCCACTTTGCAGTATCCAGAGAATAGTCATAACTGAAGCTCTAAGTCTGTCACTAGTTAGTGTCTAGGCAGACTGCAGCACCATAGGTAGAGAATAATCACGGAGGCATGACACAGAGTAAGGCTTAGGCTGAGGGCTGAAGGCCTGGCCCCTCTATGACCATGGAGAGCAGGCAGAGGGAGAAGAGAATATGAGCTCTGGCTTTGTCATCCTTCTCATTAACAAATCCCTAAGTGATATGCAGATACTACAACTGGTCAAAGGTACTTGTACCTGTGTGAGAGTAATATTGTGTCAGTGCTCTTGCTTAAGAATCTCTGTGCTGATTATGCAAATCTTGCTGCTATCAAGTCCTTTCCGACACATAGGACTCTGTAGGACAGAGTAGAAGTGTCCATGGTTTTCCAAAGCTGTCATCTGTGCAGAAGCAAACTGCCTCATCTTTTTCCTGCAGAGCAGCCAGTGGGTACAGACCATCTACCTTTTAGTTAGCAGCGAAGCCTTTAACCACTGTGCCAAGAGATTAAGAAAGATTTATGTTTTCATTTTTGAGTACGCACAGTTACACATAGGACTAAAGTTTACCATTGCGGTTTACTTTCAGAATTTTGTTTCTTTGGCAGATTCTGACTCAGAGCAACCCCATGGGACAAGGTAGAACTGCCCCCAAGGGTACTCTTGGCTGCCATCTTTACCATGTGCCCCACAAGGGCTACATCCATACAAAATAGAGTTTGTTAAAAACTCACAACATACAGAGGAAGAATTTAAGAGTAAAATCATTTTCAGACACAACTTTTGCAGCATCATTTGCGATCATGAATAGACTGATAGATCTTTCACCCAAATTGTGGTGTCGTGAAGTACCATGGGCCTTTTACTCAGTGCCATCAAATTAATTTTGACTCAGAGCCCTCCACTGGATTTCCCAGACTGTAAACCGCATGGGAGGAGACTGCCTGTCCTTCTCAGAGCTGCCAATGGATTTGAACAGCTGGAGCATCACAGTCTTTGGGTTGACAGTACAGCTTGCTACAAACTCCACTGTGCCACCAGAGCTCCCTGTGGGTGCTTAGGTAGAATAACATTTCAAAGTGGGATAGGCGTAGAGGCTAGACTCTTAAGTATACTTCATTTTGCTGACTTGGTTTAAAACCATGTACATAAATACAGACCAAAAAAAAGACAGTCCCTAAAAAATCAAGCAAAGTGAACCCTAATTACTGCACCTAAGTAAGTCATCATTAGCCACATATGGAATAACTAGTTCAAGTGATGGGCAATAATAATTTAGCTCCAAATTCTAACCACATAAAGAACTACAGAGTAATTTTTTGTTTTGTAATTTTAATTGTTTTCAGCCATCATAATGTTAATGCTAATGTTAGTGATTTCGCCCCTACCCATCCTTACCCCTCTGCTCCCACCCCTTACTCCTTTGTATCCCTATACATGTTTACAAAGTATCCTTCTAATTTTGTAATAATGGCCTTATACAGTATTTGTCCTTATAAGACTGAGTTAGTTCACTCAGCATAATGCTTTCCAGTCTCTCCCAAGTTAGGTAGTATTTTTTTTTTTTAAAACTGTTGCTCCTGAGTGTTGCGTAGTATTCCATTGTGTGAATGTGCCACTGTTTCTCAAACCATCAGTTGTGGTTGGACATTTGGGCTATTTCCAATGTCGTTGCAATGATGAATAATGCTTCTATGAACATTGGTGTACATATCTCTATTTGTGCCTCAGTTCTAATCTCCTTGGGGTATATTCCTAATAATGGAATAGCTGGGTCATACAGAATTGATTTTTGTGTTTTGTGGGGTTTTTTCCCCTTAAAAAATCTAGATATTTTCTTAAAAAGAGAGAGCAACAGAGAAAATACCTCCATGTACAGAAAAGTCTCAGAACTAATTCCCCACAGGCAGCAGTGAGTACTGCTGGCCCCCAGGCTCTGGACTCTGAACACTAGTTCTCACTATACGGAAGTAGGGATCCTTGGAGAAATAGTTGATTCCAGATCTGAATCAGGACTCACATACAATGAGATGGAAAATCTTGTCATTTTGAGAGCAAAGACCCTCTCAGGGATTAATATAGGCATCACAGAAAGACTCAGGAACCACTCCTGAAATGAAAGGCCTCCTATTAGTCAGAAAAGAGAGAACTTGATCATAAAAACCAAAAAAGAATAACTATTATGCCTGGAACAACTCCAGTATAGGAAAATCCATGAGGTAATTGTGATGATCAACACAATAAGCTCTCTAGTTCCCTGTGAGGCCACTGGGGAACCAGACTGATGAGAAAAGAAAACTCGAGCACTTGACCTGTTCCTGTGCACATTATAACTTAAGGTTGTCAAATAATTGATGAAACATCTTTGCAAGAAATACAGCTAGTAACTGTGGAAAGAATCTAAAATAATCAAATGAAATTATTTGAACAGCCAATTTCACTAAGGAAAATAAAGACCAAGAAAAGCTGCTTATAACGAGTGATAAGTTACACTATATACATACTGTTGTTGTTATGAGGTGCCATTTGAGTCAACTCTGGCTCATAATGACCCTGTGATCATCAGACCCTGTGAGCATAAGATCTGAACCTTACCCTATCCCACACCATCATCAAGTTCTTCATATATTTTAACCCACTTTAGAATTGCTCAGATAGATTTTTTTAAGGACTTCCTGGTGGCTTAGTGGCAAGAAGCTATACTGCAATCCCAGAGGTGCGTGGTTCGAATCCACCAGATGCTCTGCTGGAGAAGGAGGGACAATCTTCTCCTGTACCACTCAGATCCAATTTGATGGTACACACAAAATAATAATATTTTTTTAACAAAAACTAACAGTAACAAACAAAAGTAAGAATATGGAATAACAAAAACTCTCACACACTGTTGGTGGAGATATCAAATCATATAGCTACTTTGAGAAATAGTTGGCAGTTTCATATAAATACACACACACACACACATTCATTATACTCATTATTCTACTAAACCATTTACCAAACAGAATTGAAAATTTAAGTTCATACAAAAATCTGTACAACAGTACTCTTAGCTGCTTTAATCACAGTAATCCCAAACTAGAAACAATTTAAATGCCCACCAACTGGTGAATGAATAAACAAATTTTAAGTATAGCAATATATATAATCCTACTTTTTTAACAATAAAAAGCAATTGGAACCTCTGGTAAACACACTATGCATGAAACTCAATGCATTATGCTAAGTCAGAGAAGCCATAGACAAAAAGAGTATGCAGTATATGATTCTGTGTATGTAACATTCAAAAAACGTATCAGTGCTTGTCAGGAACTGGGGATAGGAGAAGAGGGTTAACTATAGAAATTTCTGGGGCTTCAGAAAGTTCTTGATTCTGGTGGTAAATACATGTCAGAACTTGGGAAAGTATCCACTTAAAAGGATTGCTCCAATGAAGGAAGGAAACTATCCACTTAAAAGGATTGCTCCAATGAAGGAATTTTTCTTTTGCTTTTCAAAGAGAGGAGAGAACTGGGGGTGGGTGGGGGAGGGAGGGGACAAGGAGAAAAGTGCAACAATGAATGAATGGAAATCCAAAATCTCTGTAAATGTTCATTAAAATAAAAAGAAACGATTGCTTGTACTGTTATTTAAATTATACAACAGTAATTCCTTAGAAGGGAGCTCTGGTCTGTAAGAATGTGGCTGTGCTTCTCTGCCAGTTTGAACCCACTAGTGACTGTTAGGAAGAAAGTTGGACAGTCTCCTCCCATGCAATTTGTAGCCTTGAAGAACCCTCTAGAGGGTCAGCTGTAAGTAAGTCGGTTCTGACTCAGAGGCAGTGAAATGATAACTCCTTAAAAGCAAAGATGGTGAGATATCATCTCACATATGCACGTTATCAGCAAGAAGCAGTTCCTGGCAGGACATCATGCTTAGAAAAGTAGAAAGTCATTGCAGAAAAAGAAGATGCTTAATGACATGGATTGCAAAATTGGACTCAAACATAGTAACAACAGTGAGGGTGCTGTAGGACATGGTAGTGATTTGTTGTGTGTAAGGTCTCTGTAAGTCAAAACTAACTTAGTAGCACCCAACAACAACAAATATGGTGGATTTTTTTTTTAAAAAAAAAGAATGTCATCATTTTATAATCCCTAATGCAGATGATACAACCTTGCTTGCTGAAACTGAGGAGGACCTGAAGCATTTGCTTCAGAAGGTCAAGGGCTAAAGCCTTCAGTATGGATTGAAACTCAACATCAAAAAAACAAAGATTCTCACCATTGGGCCAGTCGGCAGCATCATGGTAGAAAAGGAAGAGATTGAGATTGTTAACAGCTTTGGTTTGCTTGGCTCCACAATCAACAGTCAAAAGATGGATTGCATTGGGAAAGTCTGCTGTCAGGGACATCTCCAAAGTACTAAAGAACAACAGTATCAGTTTGTAGACTAAGATGCACCTGATTGCAGGCCATGGTCTTCGCAATTACATGCTATGCATCAGAAAGCTGTACAGTGACTAGGGATCATAGAAGGAGAATTGACTCTTTTGAGCTGTAGTGCTGGAGAAAAGTGTTGAATATAACATGAACTGCTAGGAGAACAAACAGATTCCTCCTAGAGAGGGTGAAAACAGGCTGCTCCTTGGAGTCAAGGATTCTGAAGCTCCGTCTGACATACTTTTGGCATGTTGCAAGGAAGGACCAGTTTTTGGAGAGGGACATTATGCTTGGGAGGATGGAGGGACAGTACAAGAGAGGAAGACCCAGGGTAAGATGGATTGAATCAGTAACTAGGGTAATGGGGGTAGGTGCGTCAGAGACAATAAGGTTGGCTCAGGATAGAGCAGGGTTCAGAGCTGTTGTACACAGGGTCACTATGAGTCGCAGG